CAGTGTAGACAGCTGGCAAGTTTTTCCGGAAAAGCAGCTGATTTTCTGGAAAAACTGGCCAGTCTAGACACAGCCATAGACTTTAAGGTCAGAAAGGACCATTTTGATCATCTAGTCTGACCCCCTGCACAACGCAGGCCACAGAATCTCATCCACCCACTGCTAGAATAATCCTCTCACCTACATCTCAGATATTGAAGTCCTCAAAACGATGGTTCAAAGACCCCAAGATGCAGAGAATCCTCCCGCTAGTGACCCCGTGCCCCATGCTACAGAGGAAGGCGAAAAACCTCCAGGGCCTCCTGCACCCCACCCCACCTCTAGTCCTCCCTTCCCTTGGCCCCAGGGGCAGAGGCCATCTCTACCCTCACCCAGTCTGCCCCTGGGTTCAAGCCACGTCCCTCATCCCCTTTGGAGTCCTTGCAGTCCACCCTTTCCCTCACCCTTCACTCTCCTCTCCCCCCTTACTGCCTGCCCTCCTCCACAGCCCCCATGATCATCTGCTCCCTTAGCCTCTTCTGCCCCTGCTGCCCTCTTCTCACCTGCCCCTCTGCTTCACCCCCCTCAACCCTCCTGGTGCTTACCCCATCCCTCATATCTGCACTCTGTCCTCCTGGCACCCACCCCTACCATCCTCTTAATGGCACCCTTTTAATGGCTTCCCCTTCCCTCACTCCCCTGTTGCCCCTTGGCATCTTCCCCTCCCACCACTCCCCATTCCCCTCTTCTGTCTGTCCCTCCTTTCCATTGTCTCCTGCATCTTCCCCAGCCTCAGCCCCGAGCGTGCCTCTCCCAACCCTACCTTCACCAACCACCCATGCCCCTTCTCTTCCCCTAGTGCCCCCCCCACTCATGTCCCAAATCTCCCTGGAACCTGCCTATCCCTTCACATCCCTCTGCTCTTGTGCCCACCCCTCCTCTTACTCCCTTTCCTCTCCCAGCACCAGCCTGCCCCTCCTTCATCCCTCTGCTTCCCACCCCTTCCTTCCCCTCCTGCAACACAAACCTTCCCACCCACCATCCTCAGGTCATTCCCTGCAGTTCTGTCATGGGAGACCAAGGCCCTGACTCCCTGTAGTGGGCAGCAACCCCCCAGATAGTGATTAACGGGACACAGGTTAATGTCCCTTTGATCACAATGACCCGCCCCTGCCCCGGCACTGACTGTGACTCTTCCTAGTGGACGTGACTCTGGACCCATACACAGCTTATCCTGAACTCGTCCTGTCTGAGGATCGGAAATGTGTGAGACTCAGAGACACGCACCAGGATCTGCTCGATATCCCCAAGAGATTTGATTATTGTGTGTTTGTGCTGGGTGCCAAGGGGTTTGCAGGCGGGAGGGGGTACTGGGAGGGGGGGGGGGGGGG